CTTGACTGACAGAATCTACTTTTCCTTCGGAAGCAGAGGCAAGAAGGCGTCCTCAGATACTGATACTGCTGAGTGGTGGCAGATCTCAAGATGATGTTGGAGGTGCTGCTGCAGCTTTGAAACAGGACAAAATTGTACCATTCAGTATTGGTACAAGGAATGCAGACATATTAGAGCTCCAAATGATAGCTCATATTCCCTCCTATGCTCTTTCTGTCCCTCGGTTCGATGACCTTGAAAGCATTCAACAGCAGCTTTTGTCATTTGTAAAAAGGGTCCCTCGTCAGCCAAGAGTTTATCAACCAACTGTAGTAGGTAAGGAGTTATTTCTCTCCCTCTCTTCATTAGCCCTTTAATCTGTCACATTTCAGGTTGCTACCTTCTTGCTGAAAATAGCTGGATGTCTTACTCAGTACATTCATTCATTCTTTAAGCATGCCTTGTGAAAAATGTCGCTATTATTTTCTAGTCACAAATACAGTACCAGTCAAATGTTTGGACACACCTACTCATTCCAGGGTTTTTCTTTTTACTATTTTCTACATTGTAGAATAAATGAAATAACACATATGGAATCATGTAGTAACCAAAAAGTGTTAAACAAGTTAAAATATATTTTATATTGGAGATTCTTCAAAGTAGCCACAGTTTGCCTTGATGACAGCTTTGCACACTCTTGGTATTCTCTCAACCAGCTTCACCTGGAATGCTTTTCCAACAGTCTTGAAGGAGTTCCCACATATACTGAGTACTTGTTGGCTGCTTTTCCTTCTCATCCCAAACCATCTCAATTGGGTTGAGGTCAGGTGATTGTGGAGGCCAGGTCATCTGATGCAGCACTCCATCACTCGCCTTCTTGGTCAAATAGCCCTCACACAGCCTGGAGGTGTGTTGGGTCATTGTCCTGTTGAAAAACAAATGATGGTCCCACTAAGCGCAAACCAGATGGGATGGCGTATCGCTGCAGAATGCTGTGGTAGCCATGCTGGTTAAATATAAAATGTATTTTAACTTGTTTAACACTTTTCTGGGTACTACATGATTCCATATGTGTTCATAGTTTTGATGTCTTCACTATTATTCTACAATGTAGAAAATAGTAAAAATTAAGAAAAACCCTGGAATGAGTAGGTGTGTCCAAACTTTTGACTGGTACTGTACATGTACATGATATTTCTTTATAATTTTACCTGAGAATGACATTTTATTCATATGAATCTCTAGATAAATCTGAATCCAAACAACGGGATGTTGTTTTTTTACTGGATGGCTCTGATGAAACTCTAAATGGATTTGAGGCAATGCGTGACTTTGTGCAGAGAGTAGTGGAGAAACTCGCTGTGGAGGAGAACAAAGATCAAGTGTCTGTGGTCCAGTACAGCAGAGAACCAGAGGCCCACTTCTATCTGAACACTTACACAACAAAGGAAGACGTTGTGGACAGTGTAAGAGGCCTGAGGCACAAAGGAGGGAGACCCCTCAACACTGGGGCAGCTCTCCAGTATGTCAGGGACAATGTCTTTACTGCCTCCTCTGGAAGCAGACGCCAAGAGGGCATCCCTCAGATTCTGGTTCTATTGAGTGGGGGAAGGTCCAATGATGATGTTAGAAATGCAGTTACAAACCTGAAAGAAATTGGTGTTATGGCAATAGTGGTTGGAATGAGGAATGCCGATACACTTGAGCTTCAAACAATTTCACATGAACCCAGCTATGCTTTCTCTGCTACACATTACAACGATCTCCCAAACATTCAACAGCAAGTGTTATCTGCTGTTGAGAGAGTTGAATTGACCACTACTAACTTGCCAACAACATTAATAGGTAAGACTGCAATCATCACAACAGTAATGTTGTAGTTGGTCAATTAAGTTAGCATAATGTTGATGTATTTCATTTCACAAAACACAGTTGTTTATTGAATTCCCTAAATGTATATGTAAAATGTTATTAACACATTTTATAAATGCTTATAGATGCTGCAACAAATGATTACAGGAGGGACATTGTATTTTTACTTGATGGTTCTGATGATTCCCGAAGAAAATTTCCAGATATTCAAGACTTTATTCAGAGAGTAGTGGAGAAACTCAATGTAGATGGGAAAAAAGATCATGTGTCTGTGGTTCAGTACAGTGACACAGCAGAGGTCAATTTCAAGTTGGGTATGCATTCAAAAAAAGATGATGTTCTTGATGCCGTAAGAGGTCTGAGGCACAAAGGAGGAAGTCCTCTAAATACTGGAGCAGCTCTCCAGTACGTGAGGGGCAATGTCTTTACTGCCTCCAATGGAAGTAGAAGCCTGCAAGGTGTTCAACAGATACTGATACTGCTGAGTGGGGGAAGATCTAGAGATGATATCAGAACCCCTGTCACAAAGCTCAAAGAAATGGGAGTAATTTCAATCGGTATTGGCACAGGAGATGCCGACACACTTGAACTACAAACGATATCTCATGAACCTAATTACGCCCTTTCTATTACTGATTTCAAAGACCTTCCCACAATTCAGGAAGAATTGTTGTCATTGTTAACGGAAGCATCTCGTCAACCAGTGCCAACTGCCCATACCATGCATTTTGGTAAGCTGTAGCCATTTCCATTTTTCTGTAGTGGCATGTGTTCTCTGTGTTCAGGTAAAGGATCTTATCTTTGTTAATGCATGTCCTTTGAGGAAATCATAGATATGTGTCTAGGGTGTTTCTCCTTAAGAGAATAAGGTTATTGAGATTTCAGTTGGACAATGGTTTTATGCTAGCAATGACCTTGCTTTCTGTGCCCTCTCAGAAAAGTGGCTTTCCTTTCTCTCTGCAACCATTCTTTACCTTCATTTCAGAATCTGACAAAAAGGATGTTGTATTTCTCATTGACGGATCTGACGACTCTAGAACTGGCTTTGCGGGGATTCGCCGCTTTGCAGAGAAAGTAGTGGAGAGTCTTAATGTGGAGGAAAATGGCGACCGGGTGGCCCTTGTTCAGTACAGTCGGGATGCCACACCCAATTTCTATCTGAATTCATACTCTTCTAAAAATGATGTGCTTAATTCAATAAGATCCATGAGGCACAAAGTTGGAAGAATCCTCAACACTGGCACAGCACTGCAGTTTGTGAGAGACACTGTCTTTCCTGCTTCGGCTGGAGGCAGACGTGCAGAGGGTGTGCCTCAATATCTATTTGTCTTCAGTGGTGGGAGATCTAGTAATGACTTAAGGGGACCAGCGCAGTCATTGAGAGGGGATGGAGTAAGAACATTTAGCTTTGGAACAAAGAATGCTGATACATTGGAGTTACAAAGCATATCTTTTACACCAGCACACTCTTTTTCTGTTGCCAATTTTAACAACCTTGACGGGATACACTCTTCCGTGGCTGCTGTAATGAGTGGTGTTAAGGAAACACCTGAAATTTCAACTGTCATTGGTAAGATTATGAAGATATATTTCACAATCACTTAAGGCTTTTTTAAATCAAAGATTTTTATAAATTCACTGTAGTTTACTGAGAATGTCTTCCAAATCACACTATTAGAGAGCAGCATTGACATCCTATTGAATACAAAACGTATATATGGACTTAATTATTATGTTTGCTCATTTCAGACAATTCCACTTTGTTGACATCAGATATCCAGATGGTGGATGGGGTCGATGTCGTATTTTTACTTGATGGATCTGATAAGATGCGAGAAAGTGTCCAATCAATACGTGATTTTCTTGGCCAATTTGTTAAACATCTAGAAATTGGGCCAGACAAAACACATGTTGCTGTGATCCAGTACAGTGACAAACCCACCACTCATTTCCTATTGAACACATACTCATCAAAGAGTGATATCATGGCAAAAGTACGCAATATCAATCTGGAAGGAGGAAGGCCCCTCAACACTGGGGAAGCTCTTGATTATGTTAAAAACAATGTCTTTACTGTCTCCTCTGGAAGCAGACTCCAAGAGGGCATTCCTCAGATACTAATACTGCTAAGTGGGGGGAAATCCCAGGATGATGTTGTGGTTCCATCTGAGAGTCTGAAGGCAGCTGGAATTGTGCTTTTGACTGTTGGGGTCAAAGACGCAGATGGAGCGGAGATGCAGAGCATTGCATACAGTCCTAATCAGGCATATCTTCTCAGAGAGTTTTCTGACCTCTCTCTTGTTAGACAACAGTTGCTCTCAGCAATTGTCTCTCACAAAGATTCAGCAAGACCAGGCTTAGGTGAGTGAAACAGAGTACAATATTAAACAATTTCTATGAAAATATTTATAAAATAAGTTGTTTTTCAATCAACTTCAAAATACAGTATGTAGCTTATACTGTATCTTGAAATGTATTATGTACCATGCACAATTTGCTGATTTAGTTGAATTTTCATTCTAGTTCAAGGCCCCAGTGTGAAAAGAGACATTGTTTTCCTCCTTGATGGATCTGATGATGTTAGGAGTAGATTCACAGCAATACGTGAGTTTGTTGCGAAAGTGGTGGAAAAGTTTGATGTGGACCAGGGAAAAGATCAAGTTGCTGTTGTGCAGTACAGCAACAGTGCAGCAGTGAACTTCAACCTGAATGCTTACAAGACAAGAGATGATGTACTTACAGCAGTCAGAAATCTAAAACCAAAGGGCGGGAGGCCTCAATATACTGGCACAGCCCTCCAGTTTGTGAAGGACAATGTCTTTACTACTAATGCTGGAAGTCGACGTCATGAGGGTGCTCAACAGATCCTAGTGCTACTGACTGGTGGCAGATCTAGAGATTCTCCTCGAGGTCCTTCCAGGGCACTAAAGACTTTTGGGGTTGTAACATTTGCAATTGGATCAAGGATGACTGATTTGGTTGAAATGCAATCAATATCATCTCTTCCAAATTATTCTTATTCAGTCCCTGATTTTGCAAACCTTCAAAACATCCAGAAAAGTTTAGAGACACATCTTGCTCAAGTGAGACCACAAGAGGAAACTAGAGTTGGTAAGAAATATTAAAGTGTACTGGTGACTTACTGTAAACGTTGACTCTCTATATTCGATTTTTGAAAAGAACAACATAAATTATTTAAGTATTAAACAGGTCATATGTTTTTTATTTATTTGTTTTATGTTTTTTTATTTCTTTTTATTGGAAACAGCAGAAAACGACGAAAATAGGAGAGATATTGTGTTTCTTCTGGATGGATCAGATAACACCAGAAAAGAATACCCAGCTATTCGGGATTTCCTCCACAAAATCATTGAAAATCTCAACGTGGAACAAAATAACGACAGAGTGGCAGTGGTACAGTTTAGTAACTTGGCAGTGGCTAATTTTTATTTGAATTCATTTCTGAGAAAGGAGGACATGTTGAATTCTGTAAGGGGACTCTCACATAAAGGAGGAAGACCCCTTAATACTGGAGCAGCTCTGAAGTTTGTGAAAGAAAATGTCTTCATCAGCTCCTCTGGGAGTAGACACTCGGAGGGTGTGAAACAAATACTCATTCTGATTAGTAGTGGAAGGTCAAGAGACAATGTGGATACACCAGCATATGCTCTCAAGGAGCTTGGTGTCTTGGTGATTGGAATTGGAACAAGGAGCTCTGATAGCAAAGAATTACAAAAAATATCCCATGACCCCAGTTATGCTCTTTCCGTGTCCGAATTTACTGACCTCCCCAATGTCCAACAGCAGCTTCTTTCTGCTATGAGGACTGTCATTGTACAGGTCACGACCATGACACCAACAGTAATACCAACAATACTAGGTAAGAAAGATATGGTTTTGATCAGTTCCAGTTGCTCTCTTACATCAGGATGGAGTATTTGATAGCTTTGACATTTTAAGTAGATGCCGCTGAGACCTTTCATGTTGGTTTTATTTCATACCTCTGTAGGAATGTTCTCTATGATAGCAATCAGTCCAATTGAGATTAGGGAAAGGGATGACTTTCATATGACAGAAGCATCTTTGTCCTGTTTTCCCCTTACCAATGCAACATTTAATATGACTCTTTTTCTGAACATTCACATTCACTAGTTGAGAGTCAGGCTCCCAGGAGGGATGTCGTGTTCTTGCTGGATGGATCTGATGGCACTAGGAGTGGATTCCCAGCAATGCGGGACTTTGTTCAAAGAGTGGTGGAGACACTCGGTGTGGATGAGAACAAAGATCGCGTTGCTGTGGTCCAGTACAGTAGAGATCCAGCTGCCCAATTCTATCTGAACACCTACACAACAAAAGGAGAGATTCTCAACACTGTAAGAGGTCTGAGACACAAAGGTGGGAGACCTCTCAACACTGGAGCAGCTCTCCAGTACGTGAGAGACAATGTCTTTACTGCCTCCTCCGGAAGTCGACGCTTTGAAGGTGTTCCACAGTTACTGATTCTGCTGAGTGGTGGAAGGTCCTTTGACAATGTTGACACTCCAGCTTCTGCTCTGAAGGAGCTTGGGGTCTTGATCTTTGGAATTGGAACAAGGAGTTCTGATAGCAGAGAATTGCAGAGGATATCACATGATCCCAGTTACGCTCTGTCTGTCTCTGACTTCACTGACCTTCCAAACATCCAGCAGCAACTTCTGTCCTCGGTGGAGGCAGTTGTTATTGACGTTACTCCAGAATCGCCAACAGTTTTAGGTATGTGTCATCACTGTTAATTAAGAGTCAGGAAGTGTTAGTAACATGTCAGCTGATTCTTAGAAACGACTGTATAATTTGACCACAAGCCCTACATTTGACCAGTCTGATTGACATAATCTATTTCTTTTCTCAGTTGATCATGACACCTCCAGAAAGGATGTGGTATTCCTTGTGGATGGTTCTGATGGCGCAAGGAATGGATTCCCAGCAATGCGTGATTTTGTTCAGAGAGTAGTGGGGAAACTCAATGTGGGAGGAGACAAAGACCGCGTTTCTGTTGTCCAGTACGGTAGAGATCAAGAAGTTCATTTCTATCTGAACACATACACCACCAAGGAGGACATTCTTGACACTGTCAGAAGTCTGAGGCACAGAGGAGGTAGACCCCTTAACACTGGGGCAGCCCTCCAATACGTAAGGGACAACGTCTTTACTGCCTCCTCAGGAAGCAGAAGCCAAGAGGGCGTCCCTCAGATGCTGATACTTCTGAGTGGGGGAAGGTCCAGTGATAATGTTGACATACCAGCTTCTGCCCTGAAAAAGAGTGGGGTCTTGATCTTTGGCATTGGAACCAGAAATTCCAGCAGAGAGGTTCAAAGGATTGCCACTGATCCTAGTTTTTCCCAGTCTGTTTCTGAATTCACTGACCTCCCCAGCATCCAGGAGCAGTTTTTCTCCACACTCATAACTGTAAAAGTTGAGGCTACACCCATAACCCCAACAGTCATAGGTAAGAACTGATGCGTTATCCAGGACAACTAAAGCAACACACACATATTTCAGTCTCAGGTTCCATGAAGCAATGTTGACATATATTTTTGTTTTGTTTCTGATACTCTTAGTGGACCAAAGCATTGCCAGAAAGGATGTAGTATTCCTGCTGGATGGTTCTGATGGCACTAAGAATGGCTTCCCAGCAATGCGTGACTTTGTTCAAAGAGTGGTAGAGAAACTCACTGTGGAGGAAAACAGAGATCGAGTCTCTGTGGTCCAGTATAGCAGAGAATCAGAGGCCCACTTCTATCTGAACACTTATACAACAAAGGAAGACGTTGTGGAGACCGTAAGAGGCCTGAGGCACAAAGGAGGGAGACCCCTCAACACTGGGGCAGCTCTCCAGTATGTCAGGGACAATGTCTTTACTGCCTCCTCCGGAAGTAGGCGCCTTGAAGGGGTTCCACAGATTCTGATACTGTTGAATGGTGGAAGGTCCTTTGACAATGTAGATACACCAGCGTCTGCTCTCAAGGAGCTTGGTGTCTTGGTGTTTGGAATTGGAACAAGGAGCTCTGATAGCAGAGAATTACAAAAGATATCCTATGACCCCAGCTATGCTCTTTCCGTGTCTGAATTTACTGACCTCCCCAATGTCCAACAGCAGCTTCTTTCTGCTATAAGCACTGTCATTGTACAGGTGACAACCATGACACCAACAGTAATACCAACAATACTAGGTAAGAAAGATATGGTTTTGATCAGTTCCATTTGCTCTCTTACATCAGGATGGAGTATTTGATAGCTTTGACATTTTAAGTAGATGCACCTGAGACCTTTCATGTTGGTTTCATTTCATACCTCTGTAGGAATGTTCTCGATGATAGCACTCAGTCCAATGCACACATTGCCACTTTCTTTGAACAGTTGTTTGAGATTAGGGAAAGGGATGACTTTCATATGACAGAAGCATCTTTGTCCTGTTTTTCCCTTACCAATGCAACATTTAATATGACTCTTTTTCTGAACATTCACATTCACTAGTTGAGAGTCAGGCTCCCAGGAGGGATGTCGTGTTCTTGCTGGATGGATCTGATGGCACTAGGAGTGGATTCCCAGCAATGCGGGACTTTGTTCAAAGAGTGGTGGAGACACTCGGTGTGGATGAGAACAAAGATCGCGTTGCTGTGGTCCAGTACAGTAGAGATCCAGCTGCCCAATTCTATCTGAACACCTACACAACAAAAGGAGAGATTCTCAACACTGTAAGAGGTCTGAGACACAAAGGTGGGAGACCTCTCAACACTGGAGCAGCTCTCCAGTACGTGAGAGACAATGTCTTTACTGCCTCCTCCGGAAGTCGACGCTTTGAAGGTGTTCCACAGTTACTGATTCTGCTGAGTGGTGGAAGGTCCTTTGACAATGTTGACACTCCAGCTTCTGCTCTGAAGGAGCTTGGGGTCTTGATCTTTGGAATTGGAACAAGGAGTTCTGATAGCAGAGAATTGCAGAGGATATCACATGATCCCAGTTACGCTCTGTCTGTCTCTGACTTCACTGACCTTCCAAACATCCAGCAGCAACTTCTGTCCTCGGTGGAGGCAGTTGTTATTGACGTTACTCCAGAATCGCCAACAGTTTTAGGTATGTGTCATCACTGTTAATTAAGAGTCAGGAAGTGTTAGTAACATGTCAGCTGATTCTTAGAAACGACTGTATAATTTGACCACAAGCCCTACATTTGACCAGTCTGATTGACATAATCTATTTCTTTTCTCAGTTGATCATGACACCTCCAGAAAGGATGTGGTATTCCTTGTGGATGGTTCTGATGGCGCAAGGAATGGATTCCCAGCAATGCGTGATTTTGTTCAGAGAGTAGTGGGGAAACTCAATGTGGGAGGAGACAAAGACCGCGTTTCTGTTGTCCAGTACGGTAGAGATCAAGAAGTTCATTTCTATCTGAACACATACACCACCAAGGAGGACATTCTTGACACTGTCAGAAGTCTGAGGCACAGAGGAGGTAGACCCCTTAACACTGGGGCAGCCCTCCAATACGTAAGGGACAACGTCTTTACTGCCTCCTCAGGAAGCAGAAGCCAAGAGGGCGTCCCTCAGATGCTGATACTTCTGAGTGGGGGAAGGTCCAGTGATAATGTTGACATACCAGCTTCTGCCCTGAAAAAGAGTGGGGTCTTGATCTTTGGCATTGGAACCAGAAATTCCAGCAGAGAGGTCGAAAGGATTGCCACTGATCCTAGTTTTTCCCAGTCTGTTTCTGAATTCACTGACCTCCCCAGCGTCCAGGAGCAGTTTTTCTCCACACTCATAACTGTACAAGTTGAGGCTACACCCATAACCCCAACAGTCATAGGTAAGAACTGATGCGTTATCCAGGACAACTAAAGCAACACACACATATTTCAGTCTCAGGTTCCATGAAGCAATGTTGACATATATTTTTGTTTTGTTTCTGATACTCTTAGTGGACCAAAGCATTGCCAGAAAGGATGTAGTATTCCTGCTGGATGGTTCTGATGGAACTAAGAATGGCTTCCCAGCAATGCGTGACTTTGTTCAAAGAGTGGTAGAGAAACTCACTGTGGAGGAAAACAGAGATCGAGTCTCTGTGGTCCAGTATAGCAGAGAATCAGAGGCCCACTTCTATCTGAACACTTATACAACAAAGGAAGACGTTGTGGAGACCGTAAGAGGCCTGAGGCACAAAGGAGGGAGACCCCTCAACACTGGGGCAGCTCTCCAGTATGTCAGGGACAATGTCTTTACTGCCTCCTCCGGAAGTAGGCGCCTTGAAGGGGTTCCACAGATTCTGATACTGTTGAATGGTGGAAGGTCCTTTGACAATGTAGATACACCAGCGTCTGCTCTCAAGGAGCTTGGTGTCTTGGTGTTTGGAATTGGAACAAGGAGCTCTGATAGCAGAGAATTACAAAAGATATCCTATGACCCCAGCTATGCTCTTTCCGTGTCTGAATTTACTGACCTCCCCAATGTCCAACAGCAGCTTCTTTCTGCTATAAGCACTGTCATTGTACAGGTGACAACCATGACACCAACAGTAATACCAACAATACTAGGTAAGAAAGATATGGTTTTGATCAGTTCCATTTGCTCTCTTACATCAGGATGGAGTATTTGATAGCTTTGACATTTTAAGTAGATGCACCTGAGACCTTTCATGTTGGTTTCATTTCATACCTCTGTAGGAATGTTCTCTATGATAGCACTCAGTCCAATGCACACATTGCCACTTTCTTTGAATAGTTGTTTGAGATTAGGGAAAGGGATGACTTTCATATGACAGAAGCATCTTTGTCCTGTTTTTCCCATACCAATGCAACATTTAATATGACTCTTTTTCTGAACATTCACATTCACTAGTTGAGAGTCAGGCTCCCAGGAGGGATGTCGTGTTCTTGCTGGATGGATCTGATGGCACTAGGAGTGGATTCCCAGCAATGCGGGACTTTGTTCAAAGAGTGGTGGAGACACTCGGTGTGGATGAGAACAAAGATCGCGTTGCTGTGGTCCAGTACAGTAGAGATCCAGCTGCCCAATTCTATCTGAACACCTACACAACAAAAGGAGAGATTCTCAACACTGTAAGAGGTCTGAGACACAAAGGTGGGAGACCTCTCAACACTGGAGCAGCTCTCCAGTACGTGAGAGACAATGTCTTTACTGCCTCCTCCGGAAGTCGACGCTTTGAAGGTGTTCCACAGTTACTGATTCTGCTGAGTGGTGGAAGGTCCTTTGACAATGTTGACACTCCAGCTTCTGCTCTGAAGGAGCTTGGGGTCTTGATCTTTGGAATTGGAACAAGGAGTTCTGATAGCAGAGAATTGCAGAGGATATCACATGATCCCAGTTACGCTCTGTCTGTCTCTGACTTCACTGACCTTCCAAACATCCAGCAGCAACTTCTGTCCTCGGTGGAGGCAGTTGTTATTGACGTTACTCCAGAATCGCCAACAGTTTTAGGTATGTGTCATCACTGTTAATTAAGAGTCAGGAAGTGTTAGTACCATGTCAGCTGATTCTTAGAAACGACTGTATAATTTGACCACAAGCCCTACATTTGACCAGTCTGATTGACATAATCTATTTCTTTTCTCAGTTGATCATGACACCTCCAGAAAGGATGTGGTATTCCTTGTGGATGGTTCTGATGGCGCAAGGAATGGATTCCCAGCAATGCGTGATTTTGTTCAGAGAGTAGTGGGGAAACTCAATGTGGGAGGAGACAAAGACCGCGTTTCTGTTGTCCAGTACGGTAGAGATCAAGAAGTTCATTTCTATCTGAACACATACACCACCAAGGAGGACATTCTTGACACTGTCAGAAGTCTGAGGCACAGAGGAGGTAGACCCCTTAACACTGGGGCAGCCCTCCAATACGTAAGGGACAACGTCTTTACTGCCTCCTCAGGAAGCAGAAGCCAAGAGGGCGTCCCTCAGATGCTGATACTTCTGAGTGGGGGAAGGTCCAGTGATAATGTTGACATACCAGCTTCTGCCCTGAAAAAGAGTGGGGTCTTGATCTTTGGCATTGGAACCAGAAATTCCAGCAGAGAGGTTCGAAAGGATTGCCACTGATCCTAGTTTTTCCCAGTCTGTTTCTGAATTCACTGACCTCCCCAGCATCCAGGAGCAGTTTTTCTCCACACTCATAACTGTACAAGTTGAGGCTACACCCATAACCCCAACAGTCATAGGTAAGAACTGATGCGTTATCCAGGACAACTAAAGCAACACACACATATTTCAGTCTCAGGTTCCATGAAGCAATGTTGACATATATTTTTGTTTTGTTTCTGATACTCTTAGTGGACCAAAGCATTGCCAGAAAGGATGTAGTATTCCTGCTGGATGGTTCTGATGGAACTAAGAATGGCTTCCCAGCAATGCGTGACTTTGTTCAAAGAGTGGTAGAGAAACTCACTGTGGAGGAAAACAGAGATCGAGTCTCTGTGGTCCAGTATAGCAGAGAATCAGAGGCCCACTTCTATCTGAACACTCATACAACAAAGGAAGACGTTGTGGAGACCGTAAGAGGCCTGAGGCACAAAGGAGGGAGACCCCTCAACACTGGGGCAGCTCTCCAGTATGTCAGGGACAATGTCTTTACTGCCTCCTCCGGAAGTAGGCGCCTTGAAGGTGTTCCACAGATTCTGATACTGTTGAATGGTGGAAGGTCCTTTGACAATGTAGATACACCAGCGTCTGCTCTCAAGGAGCTTGGTGTCTTGGTGTTTGGAATTGGAACAAGGAGCTCTGATAGCAAAGAATTACAAAAGATATCCTATGACCCCAGCTATGCTCTTTCTGTGTCTGAATTTACTGACCTCCCCAATGTCCAACAGCAGCTTCTTTCTGCTATAAGCACTGTCATTGTACAGGTGACAACCATGACACCAACAGTAATACCAACAATACTAGGTAAGAAAGATATGGTTTTGATCAGTTCCATTTGCTCTCTTACATCAGGATGGAGTATTTGATAGCTTTGACATTTTAAGTAGATGCACCTGAGACCTTTCATGTTGGTTTCATTTCATACCTCTGTAGGAATGTTCTCTATGATAGCACTCAGTCCAATGCACACATTGCCACTTTCTTTGAATAGTTGTTTGAGATTAGGGAAAGGGATGACTTTCATATGACAGAAGCATCTTTGTCCTGTTTTTCCCATACCAATGCAACATTTAATATGACTCTTTTTCTGAACATTCACATTCACTAGTTGAGAGTCAGGCTCCCAGGAGGGATGTTGTGTTCTTGCTGGATGGATCTGATGGCACTAGGAGTGGATTCCCAGCAATGCGGGACTTTGTTCAAAGAGTGGTGGAGACACTCGGTGTGGATGAGAACAAAGATCGCGTTGCTGTGGTCCAGTACAGTAGAGATCCAGCTGCCCAATTCTATCTGAACACCTACACAACAAAAGGAGAGATTCTCAACACTGTAAGAGGTCTGAGACACAAAGGTGGGAGACCTCTCAACACTGGAGCAGCTCTCCAGTACGTGAGAGACAATGTCTTTACTGCCTCCTCCGGAAGTCGACGCTTTGAAGGTGTTCCACAGTTACTGATTCTGCTGAGTGGTGGAAGGTCCTTTGACAATGTTGACACTCCAGCTTCTGCTCTGAAGGAGCTTGGGGTCTTGATCTTTGGAATTGGAACAAGGAGTTCTGATAGCAGAGAATTGCAGAGGATATCACATGATCCCAGTTATGCTCTGTCTGTCTCTGACTTCACTGACCTTCCAAACATCCAGCAGCAACTTCTGTCCTCGGTGGAGGCAGTTGTTATTGACGTTACTCCAGAATCGCCAACAGTTTTAGGTATGTGTCATCACTGTTAATTAAGAGTCAGGAAGTGTTAGTACCATGTCAGCTGATTCTTAGAAACGACTGTATAATTTGACCACAAGCCCTACATTTGACCAGTCTGATTGACATAATCTATTTCTTTTCTCAGTTGATCATGACACCTCCAGAAAGGATGTGGTATTCCTTGTGGATGGTTCTGATGGCGCAAGGAATGGATTCCCAGCAATGCGTGATTTTGTTCAGAGAGTAGTGGGGAAACTCAATGTGGGAGGAGACAAAGACCGCGTTTCTGTTGTCCAGTACGGTAGAGATCAAGAAGTTCATTTCTATCTGAACACATACACCACCAAGGAGGACATTCTTGACACTGTCAGAAGTCTGAGGCACAGAGGAGGTAGACCCCTTAACACTGGGGCAGCCCTCCAATACGTAAGGGACAACGTCTTTACTGCCTCCTCAGGAAGCAGAAGCCAAGAGGGCGTCCCTCAGATGCTGATACTTCTGAGTGGGGGAAGGTCCAGTGATAATGTTGACATACCAGCTTCTGCCCTGAAAAAGAGTGGGGTCTTGATCTTTGGCATTGGAACCAGAAATTCCAGCAGAGAGGTTCGAAAGGATTGCCACTGATCCTAGTTTTTCCCAGTCTGTTTCTGAATTCACTGACCTCCCCAGCATCCAGGAGCAGTTTTTCTCCACACTCATAACTGTACAAGTTGAGGCTACACCCATAACCCCAACAGTCATAGGTAAGAACTGATGCGTTATCCAGGACAACTAAAGCAACACACACATATTTCAGTCTCAGGTTCCATGAAGCAATGTTGACATATATTTTTGTTTTGTTTCTGATACTCTTAGTGGACCAAAGCATTGCCAGAAAGGATGTAGTATTCCTGCTGGATGGTTCTGATGGAACTAAGAATGGCTTCCCAGCAATGCGTGACTTTGTTCAAAGAGTGGTAGAGAAACTCACTGTGGAGGAAAACAGAGATCGAGTCTCTGTGGTCCAGTATAGCAGAGAATCAGAGGCCCACTTCTATCTGAACACTCATACAACAAAGGAAGACGTTGTGGAGACCGTAAGAGGCCTGAGGCACAAAGGAGGGAGACCCCTCAACACTGGGGCAGCTCTCCAGTATGTCAGGGACAATGTCTTTACTGCCTCCTCCGGAAGTAGGCGCCTTGAAGGTGTTCCACAGATTCTGATACTGTTGAATGGTGGAAGGTCCTTTGACAATGTAGATACACCAGCGTCTGCTCTCAAGGAGCTTGGTGTCTTTGTGTTTGGAATTGGAACAAGGAGCTCTGATAGCAGAGAATTACAAAAGATATCCTATGACCCCAGCTATGCTCTTTCCGTGTCTGAATTTACTGACCTCCCCAATGTCCAACAGCAGCTTCTTTCTGCTATAAGCACTGTCATTGTACAGGTGACAACCATGACACCAACAGTAATACCAACAATACTAGGTAAGAAAGATATGGTTTTGATCAGTTCCATTTGCTCTCTTACATCAGGATGGAGTATTTGATAGCTTTGACATTTTAAGTAGATGCACCTGAGACCTTTCATGTTGGTTTCAGTTCATACCTCTGTAGGAATGTTCTCTATGATAGCACTCAGTCCAATGCACACATTGCCACTTTCTTTGAATAGTTGTTTGAGATTAGGGAAAGGGATGACTTTCATATGACAGAAGCATCTTTGTCCTGTTTTTCCCATACCAATGCAACATTTAATATGACTCTTTTTCTGAACATTCACATTCACTAGTTGAGAGTCAGGCTCCCAGGAGGGATGTCGTGTTCTTGCTGGATGGATCTGATGGCACTAGGAGTGGATTCCCAGCAATGCGGGACTTTGTTCAAAGAGTGGTGGAGACACTCGGTGTGGATGAGAACAAAGATCGCGTTGCTGTGGTCCAGTACAGTAGAGATCCAGCTGCCCAATTCTATCTGAACACCTACACAACAAAAGGAGAGATTCTCAACACTGTAAGAGGTCTGAGACACAAAGGTGGGAGACCTCTCAACACTGGAGCAGCTCTCCAGTACGTGAGAGACAATGTCTTTACTGCCTCCTCCGGAAGTCGACGCTTTGAAGGTGTTCCACAGTTACTGATTCTGCTGAGTGGTGGAAGGTCCTTTGACAATGTTGACACTCCAGCTTCTGCTCTGAAGGAGCTTGGGGTCTTGATCTTTGGAATTGGAACAAGGAGTTCTGATAGCAGAGAATTGCAGAGGATATCACATGATCCCAGTTATGCTCTGTCTGTCTCTGACTTCACTGACCTTCCAAACATCCAGCAGCAACTTCTGTCCTCGGTGGAGGCAGTTGTTATTGACGTTACTCCAGAATCGCCAACAGTTTTAGGTATGTGTCATCACTGTTAATTAAGAGTCAGGAAGTGTTAGTAACATGTCAGCTGATTCTTAGAAACGACTGTATAATTTGACCACAAGCCCTACATTTGACCAGTCTGATTGACATAATCTATTTCTTTTCTCAGTTGATCATGACACCTCCAGAAAGGATGTGGTATTCCTTGTGGATGGTTCTGATGGCGCAAGGAATGGATTCCCAGCAATGCGTGATTTTGTTCAGAGTGTAGTGGGGAAACTCAATGTGGGAGGAGACAAAGACCGCGTTTCTGTTGTCCAGTACGGTAGAGATCAAGAAGTTCATTTCTATCTGAACACATACTCCACCAAGGAGGACATTCTTGACGGTATCAGACTTCTGAGGCACAAAGGTGGTGGACCCCTCAACACCGGAGCAGCCCTCCAGTTCGTAAGAGAAAAAGTCTTTAGGCACACCTCTGGAAGCAGACGTGATGAAGGTGTTCCTCAGATATTGATTTTGCTGAGTGGTGGACGGTCAAATGACGCTGTTAGACAAGCTGCCTTGGATATGAAAGGTCAAGGAATTCAGAGTATTGGCATTGCCATCAGACAGGCCGACACTAGAGAAATGCAGTCAATTACATCTGATCCACAGCTGATTCTCGGGGCACAAGACTTTTCAGACCTTCCAGGTCTGCAGCTGGAACTTTTATCATCAATTTCTCAAGTTTCCAGTCCTGGTTTGATAGGTAAACATTTTCTTTGTTTTTCTCTGTCTATTTAACCAGTTAATTGCTTTGTGATGTTAAGATCTTTTAGATCTACTGGTATACTCAACTACTCTTTCCTATTAAGATATTTGCTTTCATCTACATTCTCCAAAATAATGTGTAGAAGTATTTAAGAGTATTAGAAGAATTAAAGCCGCTCATTAATTTAAGTCATCAACGATAATGGGTCACCACTGTTAAGTTGGATTGTTTAGTAGCATCGCCACCTCATTTGTCAAATCCTCCAACATCTTGCTTACGCCTTCTTTCACATTGCTCTCACTCATTTTTGCTTCTTTCATCTTTCTTTCAAAGATTGTTCTTGAATATTGAGAGTGAATACTTCCACTTTACATCCATGCTTATGCTTGGTATTATTACCACCTAATGTCTAGAAAACCTTTCCATTATTTATTTCATTGTTCTCTTCTCTTCTTTAAACACAGTCTTACTAGTTGCCTATTCTTAGAATAAGCAATTGTCTCTTTTTTTGCAGCAGTGGCATTTACTTCAGCTTTCTGGAATGCATTCATTTAAATCAGCTGCAGTTGTTTTCAGAGATATTAATATGTATTTACTTATAATATTTAAGAAATCATTATTCCTTCTTTGTAAATTATATTTACAGTAATTGAATATGTTTTCCCCACATAAAATAAAGTACCAAAGAGAGACATTGTATTCCTTCTGGATGGTTCTGATGGCACCAGGAGTAGATTCCCAGCGATTCGTGATTTGTTGAAAAACTAGTAGACAAACTCAACTTCACTCCACTTCTATCTGAACACTTATGTTACAAAGAAGGACATTTTAGACACTGTTAGAGGTCCGAGGCATAAAGGAGGGACACTTCTCAACACCGGGGCTGCCCTCCTGTACATCAAGGACAATGTGTTCACTGCTTCAGCTGGAAGTAGACACTTGCTCAGTGTTACACAGGTTTTAGTCATTTTGAGTGGAGGACGATCCAGATACTCAATTAACAATGCTTCTCATGCGCTGAAGCAACAGGGTATCATGGTCTTCGCCATCGGGTCAAAAGCTACAGACATTGAAGAGCTGCAAACTATTTCTTTCAATCCTTCTTTGGCACTTACATTTCCAGAATACTTTATAGATTGGAGAATCAACTTTTATCTTCAATGAGAATTACTATTAGGAGAAACGCTGGCATTTTGGGTAAGGGATGTCAGGAACACTTTTCCCATAATTGCTTATTGATACTACATGTGAATCATGGGCTTGTCCCGCCACTCTTTAGATTGGCTTTGTTCTCCAACATAAGTCATTTTTCCAAAGCTCTCCCAAGGCTCATAACCTTGAATTATATATTTTCCTTTGATGTCGCTTTTCCAAGACAAAAAGATTGTAGAATCTTGATAACGTATTTTGAGGCTTAATTTGCCATTGTCTTCAACACAGAGGACAATGAGCTCTGTTTCCCTGCAATATATGGCATGTGATGGTAATTCATCTGTGCTCCTTTCTTCTTTGCTTTAATATTTGCTGAATTTTGAAATGAAGTGCTGAGTATTTTAAGATTCGTGCCTCACATCTTTTAGTGTCAAACCTAGCTTCACTCTCACCACTGTGCTGGAATGGTGTTTTCATAATTTGTTTCACTTGCTGTCTAGATTTTCTTTTGCTATGCCAAATGGTTATAGCATGTAAACCCCCTGTTCCCCTTAAGTACTGATATGACAAGAGCAGCATCTTGGTAAGTCCACATGTACTATTCTCCCTAGTGGATTCGCGAATTGGACGGCGTGATGTGTTCCTCATCGACTGCTCAGACAGCAGTTGCAGTTGGTTTCCTGCCATGCAAGACTTTGTACTAAGAGTTGTGTAAAACCTTGATGTTGCCAAAGACAGAGACAGGGTTGCAGTGATCCAGTTTACAGTGACTCTGTAGTGTACTTCTACTTGAGTTCCTTTTCAACCAAGGACACTGTCATCAGTAAGATATGAACATTAAGACATAAGGGAGGAAGATCGCGCAACACTGCCACAGCTCTACAGTATGTTAGAGACAATGTCCTTACCAACTTCTCTGGAAGTCGACATCTTGAAGGTATTCCACAAGTACTGATACTGCTCACAGGAGGACCCTCCAGCGATAATGCTAGGCAATCGGCTTCAACACTCAAAGATCTTGGCATTTTGAGCTTCAGCATTGTCATAGACTCAATTGTTCTTCCCACCACTGCTCATAAAACTAGTTTTGGTTTTCTGATCACTGACTTTGGAGAGCTTCCAGACATCTTATTAGATGTACTGTTCACTTTAAAGCGTACCACTCTTATTGGTAAGTGACTTAATTTTTCTGTGTCACTTGTCTATTCTTTTAATATTGGAAAGACAATTTGGTGACATGCAAAGAACTGTAGTCCATTTGTTAATCTGAAAATAAAACTACTAAATGTCTAAATGCTTTCATGAGACATTATACAAAACATTTATTGTAATTTCTGAACTTGAAGAAACCAAGAAGGATAAAAAAAGAAGGAAGGGAAGCACTGCTAAGGTATATAATAGTAGGTTTTGGTAGACAGAAGGTGCTCTTTGGTAAAAGGGGTAAATTGTTCATCAAAAAGAAAGGAGGACCAAGGCACTCTTCATATAATTAATTAAAATGCCTTTATTTGTATGGCATGTTCAATGGAAACAAAGTTTTAAAACTTGGACGCATTTCAGCTGCATGGCCTTCGTCAGGGAGTACAAAGATATGATAATACAATGTCCTCTTTTGAACAGCTTTTTACAATCAACCCTGATTTGAATAGGGAGTGGTTACATAATTCATTGGACAACACCTAGTAAGCAATACTATACACATTAAAAAGTGAAATAATGTAGATATGTTATCAAAAATGCATATCAAAGCTAGACGCATCAGAACCCCTAGAAAGGTAGTTCTAACCTTGAATATGACTGGGCAAAGTGGTAAGAATAGGAAAGAAATCTATTTTATAGTACACTAGATCACAGCAAAAATGGGCCACAAAAGGGATCATCACAGAAGCTAAGGAGAATGGCTACATTTCAGACAATGAGTACAAATGTGAAACCTCCAAAACCTCCTTCTTTCCTATGTCAAGACTTGTCAAAGCCGGGTATCCTGACCCTGCCACATTCATTGGTCAGGGAGGTAAGACACTAGGAAGGATTCCTTCAGCTGAAGTGTCCAATCATCGTTTGCAAAAGGATATTGAATACCTTTGTGAAAACATGCTTTCAAAATGTATTAGCACATTTACCATATAATGAGCAGTGGTTGATAAAAAATGTTGTTCTCCCTTTCCTTTCAGTTGAGTCCCAGGGTCCCAAGAAGGATATCGTCTTCCTTGTCGATGGCTCAGATGGCGTTGGACGGGAGTTCCCCATCATCCAGGAGTTCATCCGCAGGATCGTGGAGAACCTGAACGTGGGCAAGAACAAGATCAGGATTGGTGTGGTGCAGTATGGTGGCTCCCCCAATGCAGATATCTACCTGAACTCCCACACAACCAAGGAGGGGATTATGAACGCTGTCAAGGGACTGCGTCAGCGAGGCGGCCGGGACCGTAACCTGGGTCAGGCATTGGAGTTTGTTAGTAATGAAGTGCTGAATGCTCAACATGGCGGCAGGAAGGAAGAGGGCGTCCCACAGTTCCTGATTGTCGTCTCCGGCGGGAAGTCCACAGATGATATCAGTCGACCTGCGACATCACTGAAGCAGTCAGGCGTTTTTCCCTTCAGCATTGGGACCAGAGATGTTAACCCTCAGGAGCTTCAGGTTGTCTCCTATGTTCCCAACTTTGCCTACACTGTAGATGACTTCCCTGGCCTGTACACAGTGCAGGAAACACTGATCTCCACGCTCACAGAGTTGTCAGATGAGGACATTGCCAGGCTGCGCCCTGTATTCCCAACTGTGGATGGTAATGCACTCTCTTGCTGTCATTGATGTATGTTTTATAGGATGAATGTCTGTTTGAATTTCATAGTAGTTGATAAAATGTTGTGGTATATTTGGACAACATTGCACTGAGAAATACTAAAGGCTGATCCGGGAGTACCATGTAGAACGGGCACTAGTAGAGAGCTATAGGTGCCAGTGTCCAGAAGAACAAGTCTCAATGTCTTCAGATCAGGTTTATTGCAGATAATGATTCACCACACCACACCCCTCTGTATTGACAGTGCTCACAGTGGAAGTCAGAGTGTATAACAAAAGTGGTTCTACAAGGTATTTCTGGAATGGCAATAAAGAGGCTAGATAGAATGTACATACACGTACTGCACACTGACGTATGAATGCTGGGGATAGCTTATACAGTAATAACATAATATCTATACATTTCCATAAACACTATAATGACCAGACAGTAATAACACAGTTATATAAACACAACAATGTAGTATACAGGTAAATAATGCACACAAGAGAATGACCACTGATAAGCATAGGCCAGATCTACACCAATGTAATGACATAGAAAGTAAATGGAACAGCAACTGAAATTTGACTGCAACGTCAAGCATGGGATAGTAACTGCGCCACGAGGAAGGCACAGGCTAAATAAGACTACATGCTACATAAGGCTAAATAAAGTACACGGTAGCATGAGGCTACAAAAACATTGTAAATGTCCATAAACATAACAATATGCATACACAGACAATAAGAACAGAATAATCATATCCGAGGCATGTGGTACACAGCATAAATGAGCTAGCATGACTGGCTAGCACCTAGGCTAGCTTGCTAGAAGTAGCATGATGCACATGGTAAAGGAATAACTCTATGAACCTTGTAAAAATGGTAAATGACTCGACTACCTTAGCAACACCCAACGAAGCAATGACATAAAGAAGCAATGACATGTTGTGTATTTACACTAAGATGCACGCACTAAACACAGGTAAAATACAATACACTTGAACAGTCCAGCAAGTGCATTCACTTCTGACCATGATCTCACTCTGACGGCAAGAGCGGAGTTCATTGAGGTGCATGGAGAATGGCGTTCCACAGGGATGCTGGCCCATGTTGACTCCAATGCTTCCCACAGTTGTGTCAAGTTGGCTGGATGTCCTTTGGGTGGTGGACCATTCTTGATACACACAGGAAACTGTTGAGCGTGAAAAACACAGCAGCGTTGCAGTTCTTTACGCAAACCGGTGCGTTGGCACCTACTACCATACCTCGTTCAAAGGCACTTAAATATTTTGTGTTGCCCATTCACCCTCGGTCCTGTGCTGTAGTCCTCTGTAGCTCAGCTGGTAGAGCACGGCGCTTGTAACGCCAAGGTAGTGGGTTTGATCCCAACACAAAAATGTATGCACGCCTGACTGTAAGTCGCTTTGGATAAAAGCGTCTGCTAAATGGCATATTATATTATATTATATTAATGACTGCAACTTTTCTCCAGTGATTAGTAGCGGTACTACACCCCAAAATGACATCACCGTCAATGTTACATTTTCATTGGCTCATGAGATTTAAACGGTCCTACACAGACTTCCACATTACTTACCCCAGTATATTTGGTACCAATGTTTTCGTCTTGAGCAGGGGATAACAAATAAAATGCCACAGTGAAATTCATGTATGGAATAGTATAGAAATTGTGCAATTTGGTGATTTTCTTCACATTACTCATAACTTCATAATACATTTGAACAGTATAAGACAAGAAATCCTTCATGAACTGTCATGCACCCTCTATTTGAAACAATATTTGAAAAGGATTCAAAAGGTGAAAAGGCAAGTTCATTCACATTTCTTCTTTGATACGCGTGAGTTTTATAGAAATAATCTTATTTTTATGATGTATTTGAGCATGTGCTCTTCTCACACACATATATACCAGTCCAATGTATTCTACAGCGTTGCAGCTGTCTGTGGATATAAGGGTTTACTAGTCTATTCGCTATACTCAGCTGAAGAGGTTTTACATTTTTGCATAGGAAAACCTGAAATCACCAATTACTGCACGTACAGTGGGGGAAAAAAGTATTTAGTCAGCCACCAATTGTGCAAGTTCTCCCACTTAAAAAGATGAGAGAGGCCTGTAATTTTCATCATAGGTACACGTCAACTATGACAGACAAATTGAGAATTTCTTTTCTCCAGAAAATCACATTGTAGGATTTTTTATGAATTTATTTGCAAATTATGGTGGAAATAAGTATTTGGTCACCTACAAACAAGCAAGATTTCTGGCTCTCACAGACCTGTAACTTCTTCTTTAATAGGCTCCTCTGTCCTCCACTCGTTACCTGTATTAATGGCACCTGTTTGAACTTGTTATCAGTATGAAAGACACCTGTCCACAACCTCAAACAGTCACACTCCAAACTCCACTATGGCCAAGGCCAAAGAGCTGTCAAAGGACACCAGAAACAAAATTGTAGACCTGCACCAGGCTGGGAAGTCTACATCTGCAATAGGTAAGCAGCTTGGTTTGAAGAAATCAACTGTGGGAGCAATTATTAGGAAATGGAAGACATACAAGACCACTGATAATCTCCCTCGATCTGGGGCTCCACACAAGATCTCACCCCGTGAGCAAAAATCCCAGAACCACACGGGGGGACCTAGTGAATGGCCTGCAGAGAGCTGGGACCAAAGTAACAAAGCCTACCATCAGTACCACACTATGCCGCCAGGAACTCAAATCCTGCAGTGCCAGACGTGTCCCCCTGCTTAAGCCAGTACATGTCCAGGCCCGTCTGAAGTTTGCTAGAGTGCATTTGGATGATCCAGAAGAGGATTGGGAGAATGTCATATGGTCAGATGAAACCAAAATAGAACTTTTTGGTAAAAACTCAACTCGTCGTGTTTGGAGGACAAAGAATGCTGAGTTGCATCCAAAGAACACCATACCTACTGTGAAGCATGGGGGTGGAAACATCATGCTTTGGGGCTGTTTTTCTGTAAAGGCACCAGGACGACTGATCCGTGTAAAGGAAAGAATGAATGGGCCATGTATCGTGAGATTTTGAGTGAAAACCTCCTTCCATCAGCAAGGGCATTGAAGATGAAACATGGCTGGGTCTTTCAGCATGACAATGATCCCAAACACACCGCCCGGGCAACGAAGGAGTGGCTTTGTAAGAAGCATTTCAAGGTCCCGGAGTGGCCTAGCCAGTCTCCAGATCTCAACCCCATAGAAAATCTTTGGAGGGAGTTGAAAGTCCGTGTTGCCCAGCGACAGCCCCAAAACATCACTGCTCTAGAGGAGATCTGCATGGAGGAATGGGTCAAAATACCAGCAACAGTGTGTGAAAACCTTGTGAAGACTTACAGAAAACGTTTGACCTGTGTCATTGCCAACAAAGGGTATATAACAAAGTATTGAGAAACTTTTGTTATTGACCAAATACTTATTTTCCACCATAATTTGCAAATAAATTCATTACAAATCCTACAATGTGATTTTCTGGATTTTTTTTCCTCATTTTGTCTGTCATAGTTGACGTGTACCTATGATGAAAATTACAGGCCTCTCTCATCTTTTTAAGTGGGAGAACTTGCACAATTGGTGGCTGACTAAATACTTTTTTTCCCCACTGTAGTGCCACTTTGTTTTGAACAGGATAAGCATCAGTTGAGAAAGGCCACCCGGCTCATGGGTGCACCGGTGAGGTATCAGATGGGGCACAACATGAATGCTTTAGTAGCTAACACAGAGGCGCAACCAAACTAAGTGCTTTTACAACACCATTTCTATTTCTTCAGTGACATAAAAATTCTGCTTGTTTACAGCTTTGATTGATTGATGTTAGCTAGCAGTGGGTTAAGAAGGAAAACTACAAGTTATCTTACTGGGGAGTTTGTCAAAGCAGCACTACAGACAGAGCACAATTGCCACAACCTGACACATGCTCAATTGCTGTATCGTTCGTTGAGCTAAATGCCCCAACAGGGTCTATCAGAAACAGTCTTTTGCACTTTCTACAGTTACCGCTGGGGTGTTTTTCATACAGTTTCACTTTTAACTGTGTTTCAGTAGTTGCCATCACCGCCTCTGATTGCGCAATACTGTAGTCTAGTTGAATATTGATAAAACAAATATTATGCTTCTCAAATGTTCATTACAAAAATGTATTATCAATAATAATGATATATTAAATCTACTGTCTATTGCCCTAATGGGTGGCCCACCATTGACATTGCAGCTCAACTTGTGTTGTTAACAAACAAATTTGATGTGCCTGTCTTCTCTCACAGTCACCACAACCATAGTATCCACTGGCGGAGAAAAGAGGGATGTGGTTTTCCTCATTGACGGCACAACAGCTGTGCGCAGTGAGTTCCCCGCCATTCGTGACATGATCGGGAGGGTCGTGGAAAAGCTAGATGTGGGTCTGGATCGGGTGAGGGTGTCAGTGGTGCAGTACAGCGACGACGCCAGTACGGCGTTCCTCCTGAACGAGCACTCCACCAAAGACGAGGTCCGCCAGGCCACGAGGAAGCTTCGGAGCAAGGGTGGGAACCGTCTGAACACTGGCCGTGCCCTCGAATGGGTCTCCAAGAACATCTTCCAGAAATCAGCAGGTAGCCGCATTGCGGAAGGTGTGCCTCAGTTCCTCATTCTAGTCACAGGGGGCAAGTCAAACGATGACGTCTCTGGACCGGCTAATCAGCTGAAGACCAACCTGGTTGTCCCTCTAGCCATCGGGGCAAAGAATGCCGACCCCAACGAACTGAGGCAGATTGCCCTAAAGCCAGAGCTCGCCTACTCCATTAACAACTTCGGGCAGCTTCCAACAGTGGAGCAGCAGCTTATTGCTTCAGTCAACACCATGACCACAACTCACATCTCCGGCAGTTTTGTTCCTCCAGTTTTGGATATTGGTAAGAGATACTAGATTATTTAACCCAATGCAGTTTCTAAATAGTGCGTACCAATCAGATATTTTTTTGATTATGAGGGCAATTTCTTTTATGTTTTGTATGATATCGCCTCAACTGTTATAATCCCATTGTTGACCTTTTTTAATTATATTTTTGCCAACAAGAAAAGTGAAACACCACCTGCTTGACTTGTTCTTGTGTCTTACCTCTCAGCTAACCTCAAAATGGGGAGGAAGGACATCATCTTTCTCATCGATGGCTCAGACACAACGGGCTCCAGTGGCATCGCCCACATCCGTGACTTCATCCTCAACATCGTTCAGCAACTAGATGTGCAACCTGACCAGGTTCAGGTTGCTGTCGTCCAATATTCAGACAAGGTCAAGACCGAGTTCTCTCTCAACTCCCACAACAACAAACCAGCTGTGCTCTCAGCCATCAAAAGACTACGCCAGCAGGGTGGCAGATCGTCCAATCTGGCTGAGGCCATCGAGTATGTGATCCGGAATGAGCTGAAATCCTCGGCGGGTGTCCGGCTTGCAGAGGCCTCCCAGCATCTAGTGGTCCTTACCGGCGGAAGGTCCCCCACTGATGTGTCCGTGTACGGCCCTCTACTTAAAGGCTCTCGGGTTAACTGCATCGGCATCGGGGCTGGTGGAGCAGACTCCAGACAGCTCAACCAGATTGCCACTAGCTCTGCCGATGTTCTCCAGGTACCCACTTTCCCCGGCTTGCCTGTCATTAAGGAGAGGTTTATTGCCAGGCTGAACGGAACAATCCCTGAGGAGGCACCTACAGATTTTGTCGACCCAAGTAAGTGAAACCACACAGCAATGCATTCTCACCTTATTCTGTATAAGAAATGTACTGATAAATACCAAATAATAGCCAAATAAATACTGTAGATAGGATTCAACATGGCACCTTTCTCTTTCTCTCTATCCCTCTCTCACTCTTTCTCGATGTTCTCTCTCTCTGCATCAGGCCTCCCTAAAGCCAAGGTTGCTGATATCGTATTCTTGGTGGACGGCTCCATCAACCTGGGCAAGGACAACTTCAAGGAGGTGATGGATTTCATCCTGAACCTCGTCGACCTCTTCTTCACTGAGCGTGACAACCTGCAGATTGGCCTGGCGCACTACACCACTGACGTCACCGACGTATTCTACCTCAACACCTACAAGGACAAGGACGACATAATCAGCGCCATCAGCCGCACCGAGTACAAGGGCGGCCGCAGGATCAACACGGGTGCAGCCATCCACCACGTGCAGGAAAACCACTTCATCAAAGAGAAAGGCAGCAGGAAGGACAAGGGCATCCCCCAGATCCTGATGATCGTCACCGGCGGAAGGTCGTCCGACGACAGCAAGACCGCCGCTCTGGCGTTGAAGGCCACCGGCGTGCGCATCTACGCTGTTGGCGTGGGTGACATCGAGGATGAGTTGAACAACCTGGCGAGTGAGGCCTCCACAGTGGCCAGGGCAGGCACGTTTGTGGAGCTCTCTGAGCTCAACGAGCAGATCCTTGAGACATTGGACGATGAGGTGAAGGGAATCAAGCTGTGCACTGGCATGAGCCAGGAGCCCTCAAAAAGTGAGGACCATTTTACATTCTCTTCCTTAGTGTTGGTATTAGGAGGACATTACATGTCATATCTACTTCACTTCCTCATGCTTGTTTTACTTACGTTCACTTTCATATAGAAAATTGATTTAAAATACAAAGAAGAGAAGCTCCAAACACCAACCACAAACCAACCTCCCCGTATCTCCTCTCTCTCTCTCTCTTTCAGCCTGCAGTCTGGAGGTGTTGGTGGGCTTTGACGTGTCCTCACAGAACATCTTCCAGGCCCAGAGGATCCTGGAGTCCAAGATGGGTGCCATCCTCCAGAGGATCACCAAGATGACGGGAATCAGTTGCTCGTCGGGCCAGATCCCATTGATCCAGGTGGGCATCCTGGCCCTGGATGCCGCCTCAGAGCCCGTCCACCTGGAGTTCACGGATAATGCCGACACGCTGTTCGAGGCCTTCCGGGCACTGCGCACCCGTGGCCCCTACCTCCTCAACACCAAGACCATTGCCGCATATAGTTTCAGGTTCAAAAGCCGAGCAACAGATGCGGTTAAGGTGTGTCTGTTTGTCTCTTTTTTGTTGACTTAATGTAATTATCTTCACAAACAGGGAATGGTGTGAGAGCAGATTTGAAGTCTGTCATTTTAAGTGTATCTTGAGAGTAAAGCAAACAAATTGAAACAAATGCCATGATTAATTAAATGAAATGATTGCCCACCCCGCGCACAGGTTGTGATCCATCTGACTGATGGTCTGGATGGCCAGTATAATGAAATGAAGAGACAGGTTGAAGAACTTAAGATTTCAGGTGAGGATCATTATTATGTCTGGATAATAAACTGTTGAAATGGCATTAACAGAGAAACATCCTGGACAAAGGGAATAGAATCTGAGTCTTATGTGTGTTGTGCCATGCTAGGTGTGAACAGCTTTATCCTGGTGGGTCTGGAGCGGGTACCAAGGTTTGAGGAGGCCGTGCTCCTGGAGTTTGGCCGTGGCTTCAGGTACACCAGACCTCTCAGAGTTAATGTCATGGACTTGGACTACGAGCTTCTGGAGGAACTGGTGAGTGGTGTCTAGGGTTGCAAAGCTACAGGTAAAATACCAAAGTTACCGGAATCGTTTTGTAAATAACAGGTAATCTATGGCAATCTATTATAAATGTGGTAATTTATTATTGAATAACTTTAAAAAATGTATTCATATATAGTATTCATTGTTTTATATCTGTGTCCATATTGTCAAAGAGTTTCTAGTGGATAGACTATATGGTTAGAGAGAAAATAGCATAATTAATGAAAAAAGCATCTAATCCAAAATGTAATCAAAAACTCTTCCAACTATTGTATTTTTTCACAACTGCCACCAGTTTGGCCCCAAAACATTTACAACAAAGACCTATTGACATAGTAAAATAAATTAAAGTGAGTAAAGAAAAATATAAAGGATAATTCATGCTGATTCCCTGATATTAAACAACAACGGTATTCATTAAATTGATGGTTTATATTTAGGATAATGTTTAACAGCATTTGAATCATTTTTTATTTGATTTTTAAAATATATTTTACAAGTGATAAGGCCAGACAGAGGGCCAGAGATAATTACAGACACCTGTGATAATGTGAAGTACCCACAAATGCCACTAGATGTAATCTGATAAAAATCTATATCCTCCATAAAAGTTACCAAAATTCTGGTAGTTTACTGTTAAAATGTCAACGTTTACAGTAATATACCCTCCCTTTGCAACCCTAGTGTTGATACAGTCACTCACTACTGAAATGTAACCTGTTCTTGAACTTGTACCTGTACTGTACCATACAGCCCAACTGCCATGTAACCCAAATTTGCCACACAAACACTTTGTGGAAAGAACCTGCAGAAAGACTAAGGACTAAGCTACAGTACGACCACATTGAATATCTAAAGGAAGATAATTTAAGTCCCAGTCAAGTCAAATAGATTCATATTTTGATTGAGTGGATAATCAACCAATTATTTTGGCTGTACACCAAAAAAAAAGTGTTCCATCTTAAATTCCAACTTTGTATACTTTCCAATTTACAGGACAACATTGCTGAGAGGGAGTGTTGCGCAGTGCCATGCAAATGCACCGGCACAAGGGGAGACAGAGGAGCAGTCGGGCTTGGAGGACTGAAGGTTACTAATGTTCTTTGTTATTATTGCTTGAACTTAAGTGTGAAAACATTTCTAGGAATATATTTCTATAGACGAAAGTCCTTGTGCTTTGCTATTGTGATGAGTTAGTTATATGGTGTAGATTTATGCATAATATGCTTCTTATCTTGCAGGGCGGTCCAGGCGGAGCTGGTGGAGCAGGCCATCCCGGAGATGAGGGTGGACCCGTAAGTCAGATTTCTGTTCATACTGTATCTGAAAAATAATTTAACCCCACAAATATACACTACCAGTCAAAAGTTTGGACACACCTACTGTACTCATTCAAGGGTTTGTCTTAATTTTTACTATTTTTTCAATGTAGAATAATAGTGAAGACATCAAAACTATGAAATAACACATATGGAATCATGTAGTAAACAAAAAAGTCAAAGAATATTTTATATTTGAGAATCTTCAAATAGCCACCCGCTGCCTTGATGACAGCTTTGCACACTCTTGGCATTCCCTCAAACAGCTTCAGCTGGAATGCTTTTCCAACAGTCTTGAAGGACTTCCCACATATGCTGGGCACTTTGTTGCTGCTTTTCCTTCACTCTGCGGTCCGATGCATCCCAAACCATCTCAATTGGGTTGAGGTCGGGGATTGTGGAGGCCAGGTCATCTGATGCAGCACTCCATCACTCTCTTTCTTGGTAAAATAGCCCTTACACAGCCTGGTGGTGTGTTGGGTCATTGTCCTGTTGAAAAACAAATGATAGTCCCACTAAGCCCAAACCAGATGGGATGGCGTATCGCTGTAGAATGCTGTGGTAGCCATGCTGATTAAGTGTGCCTTGAAATATAAATAAATTACAGACAGTGTCACCAACTAAGCACCCCCACACCATAACACCTCCTCCTCCATGCTTTACGGTGGGAAATACACATGCGGAGATCATCCGTTCACCCACACTGCGTCTCACAAAGACACAGTGGTTGGAACCAAAAATCTCAAATTTGGACTCCAGACAAAAGGACAAATGTCCACCTGTCTAATGTCCATTGCTCGTGTTTCTTGGCCCAAGCAGGTCTCTTCTTCTTATTGGTGTCCTTTAGTAGTGGTTTCTTTGAAGCAATTCGACCATGAAGGCCTGATTCACACTGTCCCTTCTGAACAGTTGATGTTGAGATGTGTCTGTTACTTGAACTCTGTGAAGCATTTACTCTGTGTAGCCAGTTTCATCATAGCCCTTGATTGTTTTTGCGACTGCACTTAAATAAACTTTTCTCTTGAAATGTTCCAGATTGACTGACCTTCATGTCTTAAAGTAATGATGGACTGTCATTTCTCTTTGCTTATTTGAGCTGTTCTTGCCAAATATGGACTTGGTCTTTTACCAAATAGGGCTATCTTCTGTATACCCCCCCCCCCCTACAATGTAGAAAATAGTAACAAATTAAGACAAATCTGGAATGAGTAGGTGTGTCCAAACTTCTGACTGGTACTGTATGTGCAGCTTTCTTTCTGTCTTCATTAGTAAGACTGTGCCCTCAGTCCACACTATACACCTGCTCTGAAGTTTAATACTAATAATTCCAGATGCTCAAAGTGCAATCAAATCAAAGTTTATTTGTTATGTGCACAGGATACAGCAGGCGTAAAACAGTACAGCGAAATGCTTACTTACAAGCTCTTCCTCAACAGTGCATTGAATACTAGGTCACAAATGTGTAGCACCCTAGGGTGATGCACGGCAACCATCGTCAATCTCAATGTTATTCGATACAGTGTACACTATGTTTTGTTACATGAAATCTCTTACTTCTCATCCTCTGACAGGGAGACAGAGGTCCTCCTGGTGTCAACGGAACTCAAGGTTTCCAGGGCTGTCCTGGACAGAGGGGCATCAAGGTAAGTACCCACTTAGCACTACTGTATCAATCAACAGGTTAATTGATGTGAAATCATAATGGAATGTAGTACTTTTTTGCATAGAATATTTAACAATGTATATCTATTTTTTCTCTCTTGATCAGGGTGGTCGTGGGTACTCTGGAGAAAAGGTGAGTTTTTGAAATTGAGAAATCATTACTTACAGTGCCTTCAGAATGTATTCACACCCATTGACATAAAAATAAATATAAAAAATAAAACACTAATATATCTTGATTAGATAAGTATTCAATTACAATTAGAATCACCTTTGGCAGTGATTACAGATGTGAGTCTTTCTGGGTAAGTCTCTAAGAGCTTTGCACACCTGGATTGTACAATATTTGCACATAATTCTTTTTTTATTATTCTTCAAGCTCTGTCAAGTTGGTTGTTGATCATTGCTAGACAGCCATTTTCATGTCTTGATATAGATTTTCAAGGCGATTTAAGTCAAAATTGTAACTAGGCCACTCAGGAACATTCAATGTCGTCTTGGTAAGCAACTCCAGTGTATATTTGGCCTTGTGTTTTAGGTTATGGTCCTGCTGAAAGGTGAATTTGTCTCCCAGTGTCTGTTGGAAAGTAGACTGAACCAGGTTTTCCTCTACTGAGGGACCTTACAAATAATTGTATGTGTTGGGTACAGAGATGAGGTAGTCATTCAAAAATAATGTTAAACACTATTATTGCACACAGAGTTAGTACATGCAACTTATTACGTGACTTGTTAAGCACATTTTTACTCCTGAACTTATGGAGGCTTGCACACATGGGTTGAATACTTATTGACACAAGACATTTCAGCTTTTCAGCTTTTCATTTTTTATTAATTTGTAAAAATGTCTAAAAACATAATTCCACTTTGACATTATGGGGTCTTGTGTGTATGCCAGTGACACAACATTTTGAAAAAGTCAAGGCGTGTGAATAATTTCTGAAGCAACTGTATGTTCAAATGATAATAGATACAGTATATTGATCACATAATACTGTTGATTGTTTGAACGTTAATGATGCGTATCAACCCCCAACAACCCTTGTCTTCTATCAGGGTGAATTTGGAGAGATTGGCCTGGATGGCATCAATGGAGAAGAGGTAAGAAAAACTTCACTTTAAGATATTTTAAACTATGGCATGGACTGAAAATCAACCCTAAAGTTAGGGTCATACCGAACTTCAAGGGATCAGTTACAGCTTTTCAAATCTTGGTCTCACGTCAGAAGGGCTTTTGAAATCATCTCTTTAATCCAACATCTTACAAAGCAAAATGTACCATAACTCCAACTTCGAGTGCTTTTGCTTGAAGCTGTTCCCACAAAACAGACCCACGGTAGTAGAGACTAATATGATGACTTATGATGAACTGTTAGACCACGCTGGAATGTGTGGCTGACTGATTTATTGCCTTCCACTAGGGCAAGAGTGGAGTCGCTGGATCACCAGGAGACAGAGGAAACCCTGGGAGAAGGGTGAGTCCTTGTATGGTCTTTGCAACCTCACAAATATCATTGCTGATACCTTTCCATGCATTCATTCATTTTCATGATTCTGACATGGTTATCACTCACAAAATACTTCTGTGTTTCTGTGTTCAGGGACCCAAAGGAACTAAAGGACATGCAGGAGACATCGGGGACACCGGAATCACAGGAGATCCTGTGAGTATCCGCTGACCGCTTGATTCCAGATCAGAGCTTGTTTTCTTTACAGAATGATTTCATTCAGGGCCATTGATGGGTAAACTGATCCTGGTTCAATCGTCAGTTGCTATTTCCTTATAATGATATCAGGACATGTAATGATTGGGATTCTTATGGTAGATATAACAGAGAAACAAACCAAACTAGTCAACAATGTATTTGTACCACATCATTAACAGCCAAACTGATTCTGAATCTGATTCCGTTTGCTTTATGTTTTCTAGGGAGCCACAGGGCAAGATAACAACGTGGCTGGACCTAAAGGAGACCCAGGCGATGTCGGCCCAGTGGTAATGTCTTCCTGACTCTCTTCTTCTCACCAAGCTATAATGTGAACTGCCTGTGGAGATTACAGTGTTTGTATAGGAAATAAACTATCCAGTATCCAGGTATTCTTGATGTTTTGAGTGCTTGTTTGCCATTGCACAGTGGGTAGGAGTGAGCGTGTTCATCGCTCATTTCCTGTTTAAATAGTCACTTCCTGTTTCTCTGACTGATATCACTTCTTGTTACTCTCATTAATGTACTTTGTCTTGAATCCTAGGGAGAGCCAGGGGAGGATGGAAAGAAGGGAGGCCCAGGTGAACCAGGCAGGACGGTAGGACCACTCTCTCTCTTCTTCTCTATTACTAAAAAGTATTATCTGATATTTGGCTTAACGTTTTGTTTCGTTGGGTCGTTACACCAATTCGGTGCCTTTTTTGGTCAAAAAAACGTTTGATTTCACCTCATTTTAACATTTTGTCAAAAAGAGCACATGTTCAACTTAATAAAAAGTTTTCACATCTCAAGAGGCAAAATAAATAAATGACTATAGTAAGTGCCTATTAAGTGCCAAATAAAGTAACAGGGTTGACTGCAACAGGGTTGATCGTAACAGGGTTGACCGTAACAGGGTTGACAATTTATTTTTAAATCAGCCATAAAATCCCCTTGTGACAGGGTGAATGGAAGCTTGTTGTGTGCAACAGGGAGTGGCAATTGCAAGCTTCACAAAAAAAAATAATTATGAAAACATTTCTAGCCTGTGTATGACCGAACAGCTCCATTCTGTCTTATGTAGCAAAATTTGAATTTGTGTTTTTTACATTGGATAAACGTAGTAGTAGTTGTATATCATACACTACAGTTGAGTAACAATGGGAAAGTAATTCTGCTTTGAAAGTTGATAAACTTGTAACCCCACTTTTGAGAAAATGGCCCTTGAATGTTTTGGTACACCTACTGGAGAGCTTTTCTTTGTCTACACCCATTCAGCATCATTCACACCATCTTAAGCCTTAGCCCCACCCATCTTTTAAGGATTCACATGTGAATGTACTAAACAACCAAAGATTTTAAGACTTAAGGCTGGTTTATACTACGTCTATCGACATGTCTGTAGACAGTTGTCACAGTGACATCATGAACATTCTAATGACGTCCGACATCAAACTTGTCGTTGTCGTTATGAAAAAGTATAAACACAAAAACTACAGGCTGCATGACATCAGCAGCCTAGTGGTCCAAAATAACATAACTTGTGTATTTTAACACCAATAAACCCATCCGTTTAAAAATGAATTTAGTATATGTCAATCTAGCAAACCAGGCAACTAAAAGCAACTTTCTGAACAATGTTTTGGTTAGTTTCTAGCTTGTTAAGTTAGCTGGCTAGCCAGTTCAAATAATGACCATATCATATAGCTGACAACGTCTTAACTTTAGCTAATTTGTATTAATTATTACAGGAAAATAAACTCACAACAAGTTCATTATTTACAAGTTGATGGCGATCTAAATACAGAAAATAGCTTACGGTGGTGAGTGTGACGAAATAAAAGCAAGGCATTCTACAGGAGAATTTTGGAACTTGGACACTGTCTCATTGGCTTAACGTTATATCGTAATTTGACTTTGGTGCAGGTCAAATTGTTCTTCACATTACCGTTATATCAAATCAAATCAAAGTTTATTTTTCACATGCGCAGGATACAGAATGTTTAAACGGTAAAGTGAAATGGTTACTTTCATAGTGAAGTCTTTTGTTTAGTATATGAATATGCAGATAGCTAACCAAACTAGGTTCAATGTTAGCTAGCTAACAGTACGTTTTAACTTGCAATAAAAATTACTTTCTGACAAAATTAGAAACGTATAATATCTGAAAATGTAGCTAGCTAGATTCTGTTACCCATATACATGGATGAACTCTTCTCCATCTTTGTCACGGATGCCATGATTGCCCTTACTTTGAAGATGCAATCCGCAGACAGGTGTTTTATACAACAGCCTTCTATGTGTTCTGTTTTTGACACCCTCCGCATATTTGCAATCAAAAGCCAGAATTTTCTCCATCTCCTTATCTATTATACTCTGCTTCCACCGGTTCTTCCACTGATTTCAAAACTCGTTCCTCCAGAAAGTGGAGAGCCTTAGCAAAACTTGTACAGTTCTTCATGATATCTTTCATAAAAGCCGCTTTAAAAAGGATTACCTACACATACTAAGCAGCTCATGTTACAGACAGAAGCGTGCTACATGGCAGACTAATCCGAACTCATCTCTCGGCATGTCCAGGCCAGCCATTATCTCATCCAATCATGGCAAGCGGGAAGGTTCCTGTCTTTTTCCATGGCTAATCCAACTAGGCTCATAATATTCCAATTGTATTCGTATTTACAGATGGCATACAAGTTTGTTATTAAGGCACATGAAAGTTCACATGTTCCAGAAGGCATTTCTGCCATTTTGATAAAAAATTAATGCTTACGTTCAAATGCCTCTCCTGTGAGGTAGTGACGCACGACATACGCCTACTTTCCTGAAACAAGTCACATATAGGTAACAGGATTGACGTGTTATGCTCGACCAGCTCAGTTTTCCACCACAAAACACCAGAAAATAGCCAAAAAGAGTTAAACCGGCTCACTTCACCTGCTTTTACTGTATGATTTGATGTTCAATGTTTCTTTTCAAAATAAATATGTTTTAAAAGGAATAGTTTCACCATATTAAAACTAGAGTTCAGTTCACATAACAGGGTTGGCCTTAAAACGAGGGACAGATATAAATGAATCACTAATCACATTAAATAAATAATAATCGTCAGAAATGACTTTTGTCAAGCAACAAAATAACTAGGGCTTTACAATGGTGGTGAAACTTGGAGAAATGTTGGGATTAAGTGGGGGTTAAAATCTTCCTAGAAGTGACACAGGGTTGCCAGAGGGACATGTCAAAATGCTGAATTAGGCACTTTGGCAAGTCTTTATTAATATAAAAAATCTGATATATTGAATTATCCATGTGGTCTATATTAAAGGGCACTTCATTTAATATAACAGGCTTTTAAAATGCACATTTTCTACTTAAAATGTGAAAATGCACTCATTTCGTTGAACTACCCAGTTTACTTACCTATGCACCACCACATTATGAGCTAACTCAGTAATAACAGTGGCTGTTTAATTTTTTTCTTCCCTGTTTGGATTGTTTTAGGGTTCTGATGGTAGAAGAGGCCCGCCCGGACAAGCTGTAAGTGAACCCTGAACCTGACCACTTGATGCGTTGCTTTAGCAAGCCTAATGATGCATAACCAGGCTACATTACTGTATCTGCCATCAGGAAAACAAGCACTTCCACACCCCATTACTCGTTGCTATCTGCATATCTACGACACTTCACATGCACTCATCAGATTTATGTAATGACCACACTACATACACCCACACTGCATACGTACTGTACATACTAGCATATGTGTGTAGCATTTGAGGTAGCATATAGCATAATAACATTACCCACACTTAGCAAACTTAGCATCCCAGCTCTCCATTTATTTCGATGATCAAACGTAGCATAACTAGCTAGCGGCTGTCCTTTACTTAAACTGGGCTAACTTTGCTTAGTGTTAGCTACTCAATTATCTACAGTAAACTCACTTAATCTAATCTCAACAAACAGATCATGTTTACTGAGGTCCACTCTCCACGGGGTCATAAGAAAGCGGATGTTTCTGGTTTTCAGGGATACAGTATTTTCAACGTAATTTCCATTTCCCCTGAAAAACGGGGACGCTCAGGCGTCTGCTAAAAAGATGGTTAACTGAGGTCTAATCATAGACTGTACTTAACTGAGACGAGACATGGGTTTCTCTTATGTTTAGGGAAACCCTGGCAAACCCGGAGGTGACGGTGTGCAGGGAGAGCCTGGTATCGGAGGATCCAGAGTAAGTGCATCCATCCACTCTGTGTGTTTCTAGACTTGTTGACAGAACATTGTGTAGCTTGAGCTGTGCTTTTATATCCTCCCATGCCAGATTTGATCAATTACTGTCATCACACTTTTATTGGTATCAGTCATTATGTGGGCTTTCATAGTAGCCATGTTTATACTGGAGCTAGGTGGCTGAACTAAGTCCAACAGGCAATTGTACTTCAGATTCAAATCACACTCACTTTGTAAATAAACACAATTTATTATCCACCAAATCCATTGGTCACTTTGATTCAACAGGAGACCCTGATGTAGACATGTGTTTGTGATGCTTTGTCCTATTTAGGGTCAAGCTGGACCAATTGGTGCACTTGGAACCAGAGGTGAGGACGGGAACCCTGGACCAAGGGTAAGTGAACTACCAGAGCCATTTTAAATGTGGCACACCTCTGATATTGGCATAATGGCAGGTTCTGCAGCATGTTAGCACCTTAGTCTCTACTGTGTATCAAGACACAGGGCTTCTAAAAGGAACGGTGCCAAAATTACTCCTAAAACGTTGGTTCTAGTTAATGTAGATTGTATATCTATCTACCCATTCATCATTGATCTAATTGTTTCAAAGTGGCCTCCCGAGTGGCGCAGCGGTCTATGACCCATGAGGCGGCGCACAATTGGCCCAGCGTCGGCCGGGTTAGGGGAGGGTTTGGCCAGCCGGGATGTCCTTGTCCCATCGCGCTCTAGCGAGTCCTGTGGTGGGCTGGGCGCATGCACGCTGACACGGTCGCCAGTTGTACGGTGTGTCCTCCGACACATTGGTGCTGCTGGCTTTCGGGTTAAGCGAGCAGTGTGTCAAGAAGCAGTGGGCTTGGCAGGGTCATGTTTCGGAAGAAACATGGCACTCGACCTTCGCCTCTCCCGAGTCCATACGGGAGTTACAGCGATGGGACAAGACTGTAACTACCAATTGGGGAGAAAAAATAGGTTAAAAAAAAATACTTTGACTTCGGACTTTGACTTTGACTTGATGAAAAGGCATCTAATTGGGAAAAAAACTGTAAACACAAACAACTTGCGGTCGAAAAGAAGCA